GGACACGATGGAGTGCGGCAACTACCGGGCCATCGCTCTCGTCGCACACGCCGGCAAGGTGCTGCTTAAGGTCATCGCTACACGACTGAACTACTACTGCGAGCGAGAGGGCATCCTCCCGGAGTAGCAGAGCGGTTTCCGCCCACACCGGTCGACGCTCGACATGCTGTTCGCCATCCAGCGGCTCCATGAGCTCGCGAGGAAGAAGAGTACTGCGGTGTTTGCGTGCGTTGTCAACCTCACCAAGGCATACGATTCGGTGGACCGAGACCTACTGTGTGTGGGACGTGCTCCGACGCTTCGGCGTGCCCCCGAAGATGCTGGCGGTCATTCGCCACTTCCACGAGGGCATGAGGGCGCGCGTCCGAACGGACGACGGGCAGTACTCGGAATGGTTCGACGTGGGCCAAGGCCTCCGACAGGGATACAACCTGGCCCCGCTGCTGTTCAACTTGTTCTTTGCCGCGATGCTCATGGTCGCCGTGGCCGAGTTCGACAAGGACCCCAAGGTGACGGCGGACATGGTCAAGATCGGGACACAAGTGGAGTACACGGGCAAGAAGGGCAGGTCGGCGGGGAAGAAGCCGACGGTGGTGACGGACGCGGAGGTCTTGTAGGCCATGCTCTACGCTGACGACGCAGCCATCGCCTCGCGCTCGCCGCAGAGTCTCGAGAAGATGATGTCGGTCATCGTGCGCGTGGCCGGCCTGTTCGGACTGATGGTGTCGGAGCCAAAGACGGAGATCATGTGCATGCTGCCAAAAGGGATCGAGGAACACCCGTTCACGGTCAGCGCCGCCGGCCAGACGTACAAGCAGACAGATCGGTTTGTGTACCTCGGACGTACCATCTCCGCGGACGGGAAGGCCGACCGGGAGATCACGAGCCGCAGCTGCCGGGCGTGGAAATGCTACCGCAGGAACAGTGCTTCGATGTACGACAGGCGACGGGCCGGTCGCCAGCTCAAGATCCGGCTACTCCAGGCTGAAGCGGTGGAGACTCTCCTGTGTGGGTGCGCCTCATGGAGCCTAGCAGCGGAGCACTACACGAAGCTCAATGGGACCCACCGCCAGTTCCTCACACGGTGCATCGGCTGGAGCAAGCGGAAACGCTCCGACCGCCCCCTGTCCTATGCCCAGGCCCTCATCCAGGCAGGCTGCGAGGAAACCATCGAGGCCACCGTGCGCAAACGGAGACTGTGTTTCGCGGGCTTCGTCATGCGCATGGAGGACAGCCGCCTCCCCAAGCGCATGCTGTTAGGAGCGATGGCGGGGGGCGTGGGATACCGGGGAGGGCAGGAGAGCGACTGGGTATCCTGTGTAGGAGAGGACCTCGTGGCTTCAGCTTGGGAGACGAAAAGCAAGGGGGTAAATGGAAAGAGAGCGCCAAGGACTCGGAGGTGGTAGAACAAGGTCGAGGACGGGGCGGCATGGCTCATGAGGAAATGGCACATGCAGGAGGCGGAAGCGTCCGCGAAGCGCCAGCGCGCGCGGGAAGCAGAAGCAGAGAGTACGGCCATCTCAGGACCGAAGAGAAAAATAGTTGGGCAAGCGGCGGTGGGGGGGAAGAAACGGCGACCGGGCACTGCTGTAGAAGCGAGTAGGGTGGCCGAGGCAGTACTTGTGGCGAACAATGTACCCGGCTGATGTTTGTTGCACCCTGTTTCCCTCCCTGCTTTATGGTATACTGGTACTCCTTTATGTATGTCCTTTGTATTGCCTTCGGCGTCTGTGCTGTGTTTCTCTTTTTCATAACCTCCCTGCCTACTCTGCTGTGTTGGGTACATTGATCTCGCTGTTGCTTTTGCTTTTTGTACATCTGGCTGTCTCTCGTCTGCCGCCTCTTTGTCCTGTTTGCTGCGTTACTCCCACGCCCTAGTTTGTAGTGCTTGGTGCTGGTACGTTACCCTTTGATTTTTCTTTGGGCGGGTGTGGGAAGCGTCCTCCGTTATTTTTGTTTTTGTATTTATTTTGATCGGGTTTTCGAGGGCTCCTTCCTCGAATAGTCGGTGCGGTAGCTGTTGTTTTCTTTCTATCATCTGTTGTTGTTTGTCCGACTGGTTTGTGCCCTATTTTTGTTTTGTATCCCCGCGGAATCGTATGTGCCGGGTTTTGAGACCACGGGCTCCCCATTTTTTGTGGACTATGGAGCTAATGTGAGAAACAACAACAACAACAACTCCGCTAAACCAGCGCGACAGATGCACAAATGAAAAATGTTTAGTTTAACATGATCGGTACACGCGACAGTAGCAGAACGCAGTCACTAGCAGCGCACGAATATTCTCCGTGCCATGTAGGTGGGAAAGGGGGATGTTCCCATTTCTTTTCCCTCTCCTACAACTTTGGTTTTTTGTAATTTGTTGTGTTGGTCTATGTACATGTAGAGACAGATTGTTCAGGATGCGCGGGAAGACACAAGGCACACTCTGTACATTTGTTGTTGACAAGCTTGCTGGTTGATTCGGATTCCTTTCGAATAGGAACTTCTCCCCGGTTGTCCACCCTAACGTGTTTCTTCTCCTCTACCTTCATGTGACTGCTGCAATACGACGCACACACGACCCTGCCAAGAAGATTTCTGCACCACGGCCTTTAGTCCTACGAAATGGCGATTTTTCCCGATTTAGCGACAGCTAGTTGCTATTAAGGCACCTAGTCTAGGGACCTGATCACTATACCGGGTTTAGTGACATGCCCTCGATTGCGACCATGTTTCGTGGTAACACTAGGGGTCGCTAAACTGGGGCCCCCACTCAAGTCTTGGATTAAATAATACCAAGTGCTTAAGGTAGAGAAAAAAAATGTCGATTATGTTACGGGAAATGAGCTGCTTTGTGCTGTGCTGTATGTTCTGTACTGAGAATCACTTGATGCGTTAGAGAGTGACACACAAGAATAAAACCATCCAAGCGTGTGTTCGTGTGGACCTGTTGTGTCGGCATTTCTTCGTGCTGTTTGTGGCCACCGCTCCTTCCCACGGAGGCTACAGCGCGCACCCACGGTAGTGGAATAAAGTGTGGGGACGATGTTAATTGACCCAAGACCGATGTTGATGCATGAAACATCGACTAGAATACCCCGTGCTCCTTGAAGCACGATGATTAATCGATATGGTGCAGTGAACACATGTGCGTTCTTTCTCTCGAGGGGCCCCACACTTGGACCCCCAACAATAGCCCCGCACGCACAAACTTTCCAGATCGTATCTTGTATGTAAGTACACCCCAAACAGCCCCTCTGCTCAACATGTACATATGTAGGATTGCGGCTTTTTTGATAGTCTCGTCCGTTTTTCTGCGCTGGGACAGCGTGTTTTCTCCCATTTTCTTCTGCATGGCACGCAGAGGGCCCGTCGGTTTATTACCTGTTACGTGTGGGGCTGGCGAGACACCGGTGGTGCGAATTAGGGCCGGGCCGCCTATGGTCGATGGGACTCGCTCTTTTTTCAGGGGTTAGGGATCCGAACCACAAAAGCCTCCTCGAACGGGACGTAAACTGAAAACGATTTTGCTTTTTGTTTTGCGCCGGGCCACGCACCAGGCACCTACACAGACAGCTGCCGCACAGTAACTGGGGCGTGCGTACCCGCAGCTGTTGCTTATAGGAATACTCCACGCGGCACAGAAGTCCTCTCGCATACCTCTGGCAGCGGTCATTAATATTTCAATTCCGAAAAATCGAAAATTCAAATACAGAAATTGTGGTACTGGAGCAGTTTACGTCTATGAATGTTCTTGATCACGTTGAGCGTCTCTCTGATCTGTTGTTGGTGTTCGCGTGAATAAGTCCCACAGACCATAGGAAACACGATCATGCAAGAGGAGTATGTGGTCAAACGCAGCGGGTCAAAGCAGTGCGACCTGCAACAAAAACGCCACACACTCATCGCGCACAAGCGAAAGGACACGGCGGGAGAATACAAAATATCCCGCACCTGATGCAAGTTCCAGACAAATTAGTATGTAAACCGGTTGCACGCTAACCGGCACTACCAAACGCAATGACGACCACTCATGCAACCGCGATGACATTGATTGGTCATTACCTCTTCGTCGCCCTCAGGAGGCATATATCACCTAACTTCCGCAGGGGAACTTTGTGCAATATACGTTTTTGTAGTCCTTCGTGAATAATCATTCAACCAACGCAAAACGTGAATAATCATACAACAGCAACAGAGTGCCTTTCGAAGCTTGAAGTACGGCCGTGATGGTTCCCAACGCGTTCTGATTATTGGAATAACTGTCACTGGGAAGCAATAACAAAAACGCCCCAGGAAAACACGACGGACATAAACTACTTCTCTCTATGGGGGTTTGGTGGTTTGCCTTCCCCCTTACACCCTGGAGTGGTCAGGCCGGGGGGATCAGTTGAGGTCATATGGCTTTCCGGTCCATATAACGCCCGGACCATGGATGCCGGTGAGCTAGTTCCGCGCAGGCGTGGAATGCGCCGATGAGCCTCCTGTCTGCCTCTATCATAAAAGGGAGAGCGAGAAAGACTCACTGCCACCAGAAAAAGAGATGCCGAAGAAAGAGAATCGCCAAATAACTTTTCATGTATGCATAATTTAGTATCTGGTTCTCCATTCGGGGTAATCGTGTTTCCGTCTTTCCTCGGGATGAGCCCAGAAAAGGGTTGAATCCAATCGCAAACCTATTGTCCAGCGAGACAGAAAAGTTAGGTCCAGCAGGTACGTCCGCCTGTTCTTATCGCATTTGTACTTGCGAGTTTTGCTTCCAAACCCGAAATGCTAATGTACGCGTGACTGGACATATATTGCTACGCACTGGCGACTACACCTCGAGAATAGGGTTCAAAGACCACTGCACAGATGTACACAAGGAGCTACAGGAAAAGGGTTGTGACGCTGACCCGTTTCCTATACTTTAATCCGATACGAAGCAAGAAAACAACCTTCCAGCGAGGGTTAGGTGGCACATTCTACTGTCATCAGTAGAGGACTCCATGAAGAGGCGTCGTGCGTGTTGTCACGTCCAGGTTTGCTACTCTAGCTGCATCAGCTACTGCTGACAACACTCCGGTCAGGGGTTTGCGGTCTGTAGCGGGGAGCACAGACGTATCAAATGTTGGATGTCGCTCGGCTCCGGCGCAGATTTCGGACTGTTTTCAAAAGCTGATGCGACCTTCGATATTTCCGCTGCACAAGCAAAGCTGAAGGTGCCAGCACGCACGACGCCTCTTCATGGAGTCCTCTACTGACGACAATAGACTGTGCCACCCAACCCTCAAAAGTGACCGTATTTGAGCGTCTTCCGTTTCGGCTCTTGTTACCAGAACATTATCTTGATTTCAAAGGAGGCGTGTGGTGGTAGACGCGTGAAATAAATGTTTTGAGCAGTCTTTACTGCCGCCCTCTGCAAGAATATCTTCGCGATGCCTTCTGGCTGGTCTGGTGTGCCTGTAGTGCAATTCATGGTGCTCTTACTTTAGTTTTCAACGTTGTCAACGACAAAATTCGTCTGCTGCACCCCCCTAATTCAAGCAATTTAGCACCGTGCACTCCTCCTCGAGGCCTTGAGCGTACGGACACCTCACAGGAATCGTGTGCCCGCACATAGCGTTAGCCAGGGGAGGGTTGGCGATCACAATTTTCATTCAACAACGAGTCCAGTCTCAAGTCAAGGGCAGCCCTCATGTGGTTCTTGAAATGGGAAGCGGTATCACCCAAACCTCCGGCACACCCAAAATCTTGCACCACCTCTTGAGATGCTGCGCAGTCATTCGGGCTGTGCATGTCCCTGTGGGCTCCAGGTAAACCCAGTTTGACATGTCGTCGATTATGATCAAAATTACTTGAACTGAACCCTTCCTCCTCGTCCAAGCCATCTTCCCCCATTGGGCCACTGGTTCCGATGTAGAGGTAGTCAAATGAACAACTTCGCCAGGACGCGTGCCGTGGACGTTCTCGCCAAGCGGGAAGGCACCTTTTCTCCCGCCTTGGAGTCCATACAACGCCGGACCTGCTTGACGAAGTAAGTCAGTGACGTGCTCATACATCCGAAACCAGCAACAGTACTTGGACAACCTCTGCGAAGTGGCGACGGCGCCACGCTGCCCAGCTTCCTTGATGTGTGCGCACAGATGATCAGTCGCACCTGCAAAGCACCCGCTTCATCTGAATCCAGAGCGCGTCAGCTCCGTTCATGCCCACCCGAACCACCCCTCACGATCCAGAGTGGCCGTGCCCACCGCCGTCGAGAATGGCGAGGCAGGTCCGGCAAGCGCGCCGAGGTTACTCTGCGCTTGTCGTACATCACGTACGGCTCGCTTGGACAGTATTGCGGCATCAGGTTCGCTGGGGGAGTGAACCGCGGCAGCAGCACGACCACTTGCCGACGCGACACAAACCCAACGCGGACCGCTCTACGAAGCGTGACCTA